CCACAATAGCGAAGCGTTAGAAAACGTTCGATCAAATTGTTTGATAGCTCTAACTCTTCAAAATTCAAGCTCGGTGTAAAATAAAAATTGAAAATTTTTAACTCTCGACTGTGTTAACACCAGAACCGTCGAAGGTGACTAATACGTAAATTTTAAGGAAATAAATTTTATCAAATGATTAATTCATAATTCTACAATTGAAATGTTATAAATTCAGAATTTAATTGCATCTTTATAGATTCGAGTGGTTTCTCGTGAAATTTACATATGAAGAAAATTACGTTTTCTATGTATTATGTTCTGGATTCTTTTCTTACTTCCTGGTTAAGTTTTATAGACGATAGTTCTAGTGTTAATCATCAGGTAATCGAGGGGATTTTTGAAACTTTTTTTCACGTTTTCATCGTTCCGTAACTTCTCAGCTTTCGATTTCGCTCGCGTCGAGAAACTGTATTTCTTTTTTTTTTCTTCTTCTTTTTACAGCAAAGTATACTTAGATTCTTCGTCTCACTATTGAATATTTTATTCGATGAAAACCATTTTTGAATATAGTAAAAAGAACGAAATTTCCCTTCCGATGTTTTACTTTGTGGCTTGTATACGGTACAATGCGTTCTATGTACAGCGGACGTAGTTTTAGAACATTAATCCTATCTCTGTCGATTTTCCTACACACACACACACACACACACACACACACAATCTTTGTTTTTTTCTGCGGTTAGCTCAAAAGAACTGTCTCTTTTTCAAACTATTCCTTACGAGGATTTTATATTCCTTTTCTTTCGATTTTTTTTTTTTTTTTTTTTGGTTTTTTATTTGCAGGAACTGCGAAGTGTCAGGGTGTCGAATCGGCGCAAAAAGCTTCGAACGATCGCGCGATCTCACGTCTTCTAAAAAATATTTCACCTTAATGATATTACACACGCTTGAAATTCACTGTTTCAGGCACCGTCACGTATAATAATAGAAATATTTTTGAACTCCGGATTTGTTATTTCCTTGTTTGTTGCTTATCGATTTAATTTTGAAACATAGCACGAGCTAGTAACAATTCATTCGTTATATATTTACGAAGTTAATGAAGAAACGATACGCAAAGTATCTTGACTGTAGTGATAATATTAAAGACTGCATTCATAAGAAAATACATTCTTGTAAACGCGTGTTCATTTCGATAGATTTTAATGCATTCAATCGTACTAAAAATTGACCATTCAAAACATCAATAATATAAATACATGAATAAATCAATATATATCGGAAAATACTTAAATTTATATAAATTAATAATGAAATTATCAATTAATTAGTATTTAAGTTAATATTAAAATTTCGTTAAGAAAGAAAGGAAATATTTATAAAAATCATCACTGGGTCATCCTGTATATTTCTTATTAAAAATTTCACACGCAACACCTGACACCCCTCATTGCAATTTTATTTTATCTTTACGCTCGATGGATCTTTATTACTGTTTTTTATTTATTTTTTTTTTTTTTTTTTGTTGAGCATATTACTTCTTCGAAATAGGTCTGTTTTAGAATATTTCATTGTTCTTTTTACCACAATATACATACTTAACTTATAATAGTAGCTCGTGTGTACATTACGTATTAAATATATATATATGTATATATGACATACTTAATGTCATAGTTATATTTTGTATGGTACACACTGACATATCTCCATCAAGACGACGATTAGTTTTTCTATTTCTTTCCCCCTCTTTAAATATATATATATATATATATATATATATATATATATATATATA